ACTTGATCAGTTTTTCCGATTTTATTTGCGTGTGACTTTCGTAAATCATTTCCGATTTATATGTTCGTTTCCCGTGACTTATAATTTACTATTTTACACCATGGTAAAAATTTCCGATGAGGTAAAATTATGTCAATCAAGCAATAAAATAAAGATTCTAAATCATCTTGATGTGTGTAAAGGTACTGTTCATCTCTGTAAGCAGCATCAAGATAATTATTTGATGCAAAAAATCTGGTCATACTGCCATTTGATACTGTTGTATTTGTTCTAATTGAAATTCCCCAATCAGCAATGATACCATGACCATTTTCATCAATGTAAATATTCATGGGAGTCACATCTCGATGACAATAACCTATATTTTTAACTAACTCTAAAAATCGGGCTATATCTTTTATAGCATTATGAATGGAAAGTGCCTCTTCTGGTAGCAGATCTGCTAAACATTTCTGATAGAAAGGTATTACAATTGCATAATAATTCTGGTTTTCCAATATGACATCTCCATAGTCTATTACTGGTGGTATTCCCATCTCACCTTTTGAAATACTTTCATTGATAAATTTTAAGACATTGTATTCATGTGTTAATCTTTCCTTTCTCCCAATTTTAGCTACAACATCACTGCCATATGAATCTATAATGCCTTTAAGAATCATTGGTTTTGATCTTGAATTATATCTTATGATATGTAGATCCTTTATTATGATATTATGAATACTAATAAAAGGTGGCATATTAAACAGGTGATTACTACCAAGTTGTGAAGGGAAAGCTCTAAAAAGACAGTATAAAATCATGCGACCCACATCCATTTGTTCAATCTTGATGCAAAATAAATTAATCAGTGTGATATTTAGAACCTGAATTTAAGAAGTGTTGGTACATACCTCCGATCTCAAAAATGTCAAACCATTATCATTTTTTATTGCTTTAAACAAAATAAACCCTTGATCAAAATCTGTAAGAATAGAGAACCCAAATGATCTTGTTGGCTGTGCTTCAAACATTGATAGAAAACGTTCATGAAGTTGTCCTACACCTCCATATAGTTGTTCATCTTGATTTAGGTTTCCTTTAAATTCAATAAAGAAAATTGTTTGATACCAACAAAGCACAGCATTTTTTCTTGTTAAGGTATAGTCAGGTTGTTGATGCCCCAATTTGCGTGTTTTATGTGTATCATGTATATTATAGTCTTCACTTTCACCAAGGAACAACTGTGAATTTAGTATTAGACAGAGCATATGAACTAATTCTTGTAAAAACCATATTGCATAAAATGTCCCTTACCTTTAGATAATTATAACCAATTGCTTGCTTTTTTTCCACTGAAGATTCTGGTATTATAAAGTAATTGGATATCTTCATTTGTAAACCTTGGTATATTATCAAGTAGTTCATTAATGGGTCTTACACTAGCCTCACACCACATGTCCTCACCAACACGTTCATAAGTTTGAATCCCTTGTGTTGTGATAAAGCATTTATTTGGTAGGATTTCTACTTCTATCCTTTTTCTTTTTTGTTTTTCCAGTTCAATTCCCACCTTTCCCAGTTCAATTTCTACCTTTCCCCGTTCAGTTCCTGCCTTTTCCCGTTCAATTCCTGCCTTTTCGCGTTCAATTTCTAACATTACTATAGGAAAAAAAAATAAGTTAACACTTCAAAACATTCAAAACATTAATATATATATATATATATATCATTCAAATGGATAAATAAATAAATAAAATGGAATGAATGGAAAATAAATTTTTTATATATATTTTTTTACATAATTTGTTTATTACTTTTTATTATATCCTGCCACTTGTTCATGTCATTCTCCAATTTCTCTTTCTCCTTTATTAATATTAAATATTTCCTCATCTCTTCATCACCTCCTTCCAATAACTCCTTCAACTTCTCCTCCCACTTATCCACCCACTTCTCTAGCTTCTCCTTCGCCTCTTTATATCTTTGTTTTGCCTCTTCTACTTCTGCCATTTAAAAAAAAAATTTTTGTTATTAAAAAAAATTTTTAAATCATCATAAATTAATTAAATTAATGGGCACATGACTTGGAATTTATTTTAGGGGCGTGCCCGAATTTTATATGTAAATCACCCTGCTTCACGAATTAAAGCAAGTGGTAAAAATTTTTACTGTTGATCATCAAAATTATAAACAAATAAATCAATACCGTGTTGGCCACCCATTATTAGCAATGCATTCCTCTATTCTCCTTGGCATGCTTTCAATCAATTTGTGATAAACTGTTTGAGTAATTTCAGACCATTCCTCTTGCAAAGCAAGTTCCAATTCTCAAGCATTTTTGGGATAAATTTCATGTTTTTTCAATCTCCTTTCCAACTCATCCCAAAGGTGTTCAATCGGATTGAGATCAGGAGACTGGGATGGCCAATCAGGTAATGTCATAATATTTTTTTCTCTCATCCAAATGATTACACTATTCTAAGACCTAATATTTTTTCTCATTCAGTTTCAGTCAATTCCGAATTTTTAGACATTTTTAAAAAATTGGATCAAAAAAATTTTAATCCATCAATTTTAGCACAGATCCTTTATTTTAAATAACCATGGTAAAGTCATGAAATTTCAAATAAGTATTCTTGAGAACCTAAGCTACATATTGATATAAATTTCTTTTAATTTTAATATGAAAAATTTTAAGAAATTGTAAAATTAAAAAATATACAAGGTTGATCATTGTGATTTTAATTGAAGTTTGTATTTTTAAAATTAAAAAATATAAATGAAGGCTAGAAACATGACATTTTATAAGCACATTCTCAAAGACTTAAGCCACAAAATGATATCATTTTTATAATTTATTGTTATGTAAAATTTTGTGTAATTATTAAAAATGTGTGTCCCAATACTTTCTTCCAGGCAGTGTATGTATGTCTGAACTTAGATTAAGATTCCAGTAAAAATTGTCAATAGCAACAACCTGATTATAATGGTTTATACATAATGAATAATTTCCTAAACACTATTAATAAAGATAATTCAAGAAAATACTTGGCTAGAAATAGGACTTTGTAGTAAAATTGCTATAATGATGAGTTGCATTTACCATAACTTATTTATTTATTCTTTCAACTGCAGCAGGTACTGATGTGTGCTTCCATGTTTGTGAGTCAGTTTTACATGGTTGTAATTAGCTCTTTGGATATTTATCAACTTGTCTTTAACAAACATGGTAGAGTTTTGGCTGGTATTTAAGATCATAGGAATTTGAATGATTTATATAATTACTATATGAAAAGATTAAAAAAAAAATAATAAATTATTGAAAATTCAAGTCAAAATATGTCACTTATTGAAAAAAAAAACTAATATGTAAACCTTTGTGGATTATTAAACTGTGTATTTAAACAAGCTTGTTGATATTATAAAAATATGGTACTATTATATTGCGAGCGTGCAATCCGAGTTTCCTAGTTTATTAGGTTATTTATTTATTCAACACACAGCTAGGTCTCTTACCTA